AAAAAAAAAAAAAACCCTCAGTTCCATTGTGTTAAACAAGGATATCTAAGTGGAAGGCATAAAGACAGAGTCAATTATTTTCATCAGACTCTGAGTTTCTTATGAATGGCTGTCATATTGTTTTGCTTTGTTTTATGATACCATAAATGGTACCCAGTTTAATACAGGTTCTTTTTTATTTTATTTTATTTTTTTTTGACATGCAGAGTTAGTGAGAGAGAGAGAAAGACAGAGAGAAAGGTCTTCCTTTGCCATTGGTTCACCCCACAAGTGGCCGCTACAGCTGGAGCACTGCGCTGACTCGAAGCCAGGAGCCAGGTGCTTCCTCCTGGTCTCCCATGAGGGTGCAGGGCCTAAGCACTTGGGCCATCCTCCACTGCCTTCCAGGGCTACAGCAGAGAGCTGGACTGGAAGAGGAGCAACCGGGACAGAATCTGGTGCCCAACCGGGACTAGAACCCGGGGTGCCGGCGCCACAGGCGGAGGATTAGCCAAGTAAGCCGCGGCGCCGGCCAATACAGGTTCTTAATAAATACTTAATAATGAACAGTTTAAGCCCAATAATCATAACTTATTTGTATGACACTGTCTTCTTGACTCAACAGATTTCTAAATGATTATAATGTTCCATAAGAATCATCACAGGCCGGCGCCGCGGCTCATTAGGCTAATTCTCCGCCTTGCGGCGCCGGCACACCGGGTTCTAGTTCCAGTTGGGGTGCCGATTCTGTCCCAGTTGCCCCTCTTCCAGGCCAGCTCTCTGCTGTGGCCCAGGAGTGCAGTGGAGGATGGCCCAAGTCCTTGGGCTCTGCACCCCATGGGAGACCAGGAGAAGTACCTGGCTCCTGCCATCGGATCAGCGTGGTGCGCCAGCCACAGCGCACCGGCTGCGGTGATCATTGGAGGGTGAACCAACGGCAAAGGAAGACCTTTCTCTCTGTCTCTCTCTCTCTCACTGTCCACTCTGCCTATCCAAAAAAAAAAAATCATCATCACAGACCACCTGAATAGTGAGTCATGCTGAAAGGAATAGAGGTGCTATTGCTCCTTAGAAAGATCAAGCTACAGCCCCTCAGGACGGCTTACAGCAGCATCACAGCGCCCAGCATGGGGGTTCACCTTCTTGCCACTAAAGACCAAAATCAGAAGTGGGGAGAAGTCAGAAGTCCACGTTACCTTCTCTGTGATTGCCATATCTGGCTGATTTTGTTATTCTTTAGCATTTCAGTTGTGCTTTGTGAACATAAAATAGTTTATGGTTGTAGTTAACCATGCGGGAAATGGTTTCGAAGTTTTTAACATATTTATATTTCTAAAGTGCTGAAATTAAAATAAGTTTCACAGGGAAATTTCCCAAAGAAACTTCAGATCATTCCAAATTTCAAGTTAATTTTATACCATCCAGATACTGTTTCACATTGTTCAAACCCATTCTTCTCTGCAAAGGGAAAAGCAGAGAAGCCCTTTGGACCATGCTACTTCGCAGGATCCCTGGCCTGTGTCCTGGAAAACTCATAAACCACATGGAGAAAAGATACAAGATCACCCAGAAAACACATATGCCAGAGCCCAGAAAGGAAATGGCAGCCCATAGACCTGAGAGCCTAGCACTGAAAACTGTATCCAGTAAAGTATTTCTTAAACAGCGAGAGAAATTAAACACATTCTCAGACAAAAGCCAACAGATTTCATTATCAACAAAACTGACCTACAAAAATGCCAAATAGGGGGCCAACACTGTGCCATAGAAAGTCAAGCCACCACCTGCAGTGCTGGCACCCCATATGGGCACCAATTCAAGTCTCAGCTGCTCTACTTCCAATCCAGCTCCCTGCTACTGTACATAGGAAAGCAGCTGGAGATGGCCCAAGTGCTTGGGCTCCTGCACCCAACTGGGAGACCTGGAAGAAGCTCCTGGCTCCTGGCTTCGGCCTGGCCTAGGTCAGGCAATTGCAACTACTTGGGGAATGAACCAGCAGATGGAAGATTCTCTCTCTCTCTCTCTCTCTCTCTCTCTCTCTCTCTCTTTCTCTCTTCCTCTCGGTCTTTGTAATTGTGCCTTTCAAATAAATAAAATAAGCCTTTTTAAACAATTAAAATTAAAAATTAAAAAAATGCTAACGGGAGTCCATCATGTCTTTTTTGAAACAAAAAGACACTAGATAGGGGCCAGCACTGTGGCATAGCAGTGCCAGAATCCCATTTGAGCACAGGCATCAAGTTCCGGCTGCTCTTCTTCCAACCTAGCTCCCTGCTAATGCACCTGAGAAAGCAGTGGAAGATGGCCCAAGCCCTTGGGCCCCTGGACCCACATGGGAAACCCAGATGAAGTTCCTGGCTTCAGCTTGGCCCAGCCCTGACCCTTGAAGC